AAGGCCCTTCTTTCAGCTATTCATGTAATGAAAAAGCAGAAGACAATCCATACCGCTCAAACACTTTCTGAAACAGTTTGGTTCCATCCTTAATACTACCACTTCCATCAGAAGGTGAACAGTCAAGTTTGAACGTTAGTTTTCACCAACACCATGACACCTCTGATCGTAATCTCACTTCAAAGCAACCGGGGTAAAACTGAAGAGAGCTCGAGTTGCCTTTAGTGGCAGTGAAGATGTATTACATTCCTTGTTTAAGAAAATACACAACTTCTAGCTCTGTACCACGAGTAGGACAAACATATCTAGTGAATCATTCTACTTTTTCCCTGTGAGGAATATTTATTTCAAGTTAGCAAAATAGAAGATGATAGTCTAAAACTCAGTTAAATTACAGATCACAATACCCTAGCAGATGTACAAATGCAGAATTACATTTCTGTTCCCTGTGAATACTGAGTACTTACTTTCCAGAGCTGACTGCCTTCATATGATCCGTGTAGATATAAATGTCTGGGAGGAATTTATTCAGCAGGCTCCTTGCAGATTCCACCATTCTGTTTGCCATCTGTGGTGACACTCTGACAGAGTATCTACATTTCCAAGCTAAGGAATTCATTGTGGTCACAAAAGAAATTTAAACCAGACTGACAAAAGTGGACAAGAGGTGCCAACGCCTTATTTCAGAAAATGCGGGTTTCTCCTGAGAGAAGCACATGTGCCATCTACAGTCTTTTCACTGATACACTTGGAAGCAAGGTACACTGAACATGTGCAGAAGAACAGCGTATTATGACTAGGTAAACATCTATCTAGAAATGCCCTTCAATATTGTTAAATAGCTGTTCCGCCATCCTGTGCTTTCTTACGACGGAGGAAGCCCTGTGTGTTCTGCTCCTCATATGCTATTAAAATATTGTGATGGGTGAAGTTCCTCTGAACTAGCAGCAAGATATCCTGTCTTTCTAATGGGGAAAAACTGGGTAGATGAAATTAAAGGCAAATGTTTTAACAAAAGAAAAAAAAAAAATATTTTTAAAGGCTAAAATAAAGTATCTTGGCTCTCTCCAACTATTTTTCAGTGCTGTAAGGCTATCAAATTCACTGATTCTCTAGTCACTCAGAATCTGAAGGTAACGGTTCCACGGAAGAAGAAATTACCACCTACCTGCTCACCCCAATGCATCTCCTCAGAGTACACAAGAGATGAACTGCCCTTGTGCCCTTTTACTCAGGTGTTGCTTCAGTGATATTCCCAACAGATCTTCAAATGTATAAAGCAAACTGTGCTCCGAATTCCATCCCAACTATAAATGCAGACCCGTGCTCTGCACATTTAACCACCCCTCTGCACCTACACTCACACAGCAATGCAGAGAAGCACACTCCCAAACCTCCCAGCTGGCAGAAGAAGGGAATTCCCTTTCCTACCAATTTCTATTGTATTCTCTTGTGGAGTATGTAAACCAAAAGCTTTAAGATCTTAAGGACAAAACTGGTAAATAATAATCAGAAAACTTATTGTTCTACACAGCTGGTGCACTCAGTAATTTAGATGACTATAAAAGGTTGCCTCAACATCAGCTCCCCAGCTGTGAGGAAGCAGTATTGCTCAGCTAAATCTTGAAGGGACAAAAATAGACATATGAACTCCTACGCACTTATCCTTCCAGATGTTTTGGTTTCTACTGGCTTGAAGGACCACTTAATGGTCAAACTCTGTAAGGGATTTCTGCCTTCTTCCTACAATGACAGCAGATCCGTGACAGATACCATATAAAAACCACAAGAGAAGAATAAAGAAAAAACAAAACAAAACACACACACACAAAAAGAAACAAAAAAATAAACAAGCCCAAAATATTAACTAGATATGCAGTTCTGTTTGCAAAAGCGAGTAGTCCAGGACAATGTTTTGTTCCCTTATGTTTGTGTGAAAGTAAAACCTCCTCCACTTCCATCTCCATTGGTTCTCCTGAAAGTGAAGAGCTAACAAACTTCTTCTCATAAGACAACAAAAAGCTCAGTTCACATGTGTGCAGTGAGGTGTAAAATGAACTAAAAATTTAAGCTCCCATCCAACATTCTGCTAGACTCATTAACAGCCAAGATGCCACCTATTCAGTGGATAACAAAACTACATTTTTTACTACTGGATTGATGCACAAGGTAAGATCCCTTTTAATGCTGCCATATTACGTGATAGAAGGCATTTTAACTTTTTCTTGCTATTGAAAAGATTTTAAATAGTGCTGTTCAGTTTTAAATTATTTACTTGTCTACTGATGCTTTTTGAACAGCAACGTCCTGAACGCAGCTGTTTTGAGACACAGTCCTGACTTTAGCCGTGTGATGTCTCTGTGTAATGTCATCCCGTGTGATCTGGGTACATGCTCAGCAACACAAGTGCACTTCTGCAGCTTCAAGTTGGAAGACACGTTTTTAAGGCAAGCTCATGTAAGAGAAAAAGGAAAAGATACGCAGTCCCTCTGATGCGCTTGATTTTGCCAGGGTCTGTGAACTGAATAGGCTGCAAGACCTTTCTCACTGGACATGCAAACAGTATCTCTCCACCCCCTTTGGGAGGCATTCCTCTCCGGTTGATCTATAAAAATAACGAAGGAAAAAAGGAGGTTAGTCAAGAGCACAAAGAATGTACTTGTACAGTCAAAACCAAGAGATTGTGTTTCACATACAATAAAATGTTATCAATAGGGTATTATGTGGATAAAGTTGAGAAAAAGACATCTCCAAAAAGCAGAAAGGGACTTTGCACTGAACCTATAAGCAAAAATTTATTTATTTTTGACTCCTGTCTCTCAAGCACAGAGGGGCATGGCTTCTCAATGGAAAACAAAACCAACTAACCAAAAAACCAACACCTTTAACAGGAAGGCAACCTCAGCTTAAGACTGGTCTCTAATAGCAAATCTGTACCTTGCTGTTGAGGCAAGTCTAAAAGTGTCTGATGCTTGGTATGTACATGTGGGACCAGAAAGAACACATTCCCACAAATAGGCCTGGCCAGCCTAACCCAGTCCCCCCTAACCCTGTCCCCTCACCCCAGCCAACGTCCACAAGGATGGGGAGAGGACATGGGCCCGTAGATGGGTCTGGCTCAGGGGGCCCATAGCTGGGCAGGGCTGTGGGAAGCGGGAGACCACTCCTGCTGCTTTTTTTACTGAAGCAGGGGCTGACGGTCCCAGGGGGATGACATGGGGTCCTGTGGGCATGGTGGGGCGAGGCACCTAGGGGGGTGCGTGTCAGAGCAAGCAAAGACAGGGCCTTCAGACATATTTAGAAATGAGCACTCTTAACTTCAAAAAACTATAGTTTCTCTCACTGGGGGGCGGAATCTATCCTACATCCAGATTCACTCTCTCTACCCATAGCCTTTGCTTCTCTGTTCTCTCTCTCAATCACTATGCAGCTGGTATGCCAATTGAAACATGCCTAGAACATGCAGTTGCAGAAATGTGTGTAGCTACAACTAGATATCTCCTAGGGACAGATACCAGCAGCAAGAATATGGCTCTCTGAAGCGCTGCAAAAGTATCACTTCAGTAAGTGCTAGTAAAGAAAGTAAGAAATTATCTTGCCTTGATTTCCAGACTTTCACCATCAATTCCAAACTTCTTCAGCAGGGGTAAAGCTGTTGCCTTAAGGGCATCAACCTGTAGATCACAGAATTAAAAAAGATGACTATTACAAGTTACAGAAGTCAGTAATTTAAAACTCATTGCATTATGAGGTGCCTAACGAAGACAAAGCTTCTCTGTACTACGTATTCTATTGGAAGACATGGGAATGCAGCATAGAGAGCTTCGCCTACTCTTACACTACCACAGCATCTCATTACTCCAAAAGTTTGCTAGAACAAATTACTAGAAATTACTGGGAGATGGAATTTCCTATTCCGGATTTCTTCCTCAGCCTGATTTTTTTTTTTTTTTCTATTACAGTTTGGCTAAACCAGCTCACTTGCTTCTCTGAACAGAGATACTGTAAAAAATTATATTCTTCTGTCATTGCTAAAACATTTCACAGCTAAACAGGTGATGATTGCAAGAACTTTTACATTTTGAAGCAGGCCCTTTATTTGGCAGGAGTAACCTCATCTGTTTTCAAGAACTTCTTTTCATCCGTTTCTGAGAAACAGAAGCTTCTAGGTACCTTCTGTTGAAATACTTAGAAGAATATGAAGTGGGTGACATATCACACATGTACTCCCTTTGGGCCAGATGCTCCCCAGATCCAGGTCTGAGCAGGATTTTCCTTGCCATTGCTCCTCAACAGTGACTGCCGCCCTCCCCCTGCTGAAACGTGAGTGGCATTGCCAAAGGTGACAAAAATGAGTTAGCAGTGCACAGGGTGTTACCCAAAGCAAGCAGCTTGGGAGAGACAGGACCAAAAGAGGTGACCAAAGTGGAACTAAATTCAGGTGGAGGAAACAGGCATGAAGTACAGAGCAGTTGAGGAGGCAGGGAAAAAGCACCCTCCTTCCCATGCCTTCATAGAATCATAGAATG